TAAAGAAATATGAAGCCTGAGCCTGTTTTACCTTGGCCGGTCCCTAGGAGCAGTAGATGGATGGCTTCTCTCAGAGTTTCCTGGCACATGACCTTGAGTGCTTTATTAATTTCCTTATTTTTTTAGGGCAATACCTCGGGCTATTCACCTAAAAGATGAGTCAGGGGATCACTTGAGGCATAAGATCTGAAATTAAACATTTTCCAGTTAAAAAGACTTCAACAGTTCATTAACTATTTCAATTAAAAACTCTCGTTGAAGAATAATTAAATTAAAATGATCAAATTAGCCTTTGTTTTATATGTAAGCTACTCTTTTCAATTATTCAAAGGACAGTAATTATTTAAGGTATTAAGTGAAAGGAGTCTGGTGAACATCCAATCATGCCAGAATTGTTTTAGTATTACAAATGGCAATAGCTGCATCCATTCCACTCTGCTAGATTTATGCTTAAATTTAATGCCAAGTGCTTTTAAAAAGATAACTGCAGAAGAGATTATCATGCAATATAATCCTATGCTGAAGTTGAAAAGTCCCCTACACTAACTGGCATTTAACCACATGAATTAAAAGCTGTATTCATGAATATGATAAACTTATCTGGAACAGATTCTCCCTGGAAAGTGTAAATTAGAAAATGGGTTAATTTTAGGATTAAAGACATGTGGATTCACAGACATCTATAATGCCTTTCACTGGGGGAGTTCAATGACCAAAGATTCACAAGTCATGCACTGACTCATTGTGTTTTGAAATGCATCGCAATGTGTCATCTTTGGAAAGGTGTGAATAAGACTGAATATATAATCCGCATTGTGGCCGTTCAAAACGACAGAAGAAAGAGGCCAGAAAATCCTTCCCTGACTGATACATACTACAAGTGTTTATTTGATCTTATCTTTAAAAATCCAACTATAAATTGACAGTATAGCAAACGGAAGGGAAAATAGCAATTTAATTTTTTTTTTTAAAGATAGAAAAGTCATCTCTGGGTCAGATTCACCCAGTTAGTTTGCTTGTGTGAGAGGATATGGAAGAAAAAGCGTATACTGACAGTGACGTTGTCAGCAACATATCATATACTGTAGCTTTGCACTGACAATCTGACCATTTGTCTTATATCACTCTTTGGAGAAAAGAAAACAAGAGCCTCATTCTATCATTTACAGCAGCTTGAAATTCTTGGTAGATAGCAGGCTGCTAAAGTATTTCCAGTCTTGACAAGTTCACAGCGACACACAGGGTCAGAGCAATTTATCAAGATGATTGCTGTACAATAAGGACACCTCTGTCCCCTATATTATGTGCAACGCCTAAAACCCAGCCAAACGTTTCAGTGAAGATCACCTCGGTGGAATGAAAGAATGTGTGTGTCAATAATAATTTAGGTGAGGAAATACAGAAGAACAGTTTTGATTTAGAGCGGCAAACAATATAATGAATGCTGTATCAGTTATTAAAGCCTGGGGAGACACTTTTATGCATGACTACAACACTACATACCTGGTACCTACAGCTTGAGAAAGTGTGCTAATTTAAGAGGAAATGCAAAAAATCAGTTTCTCCCTAATAATTAACACAAATGCAGGGGAATATGCTTGCAAGGGAAAAGCAGGAACATGCTGTAATCCAACAGAACACAATTTCACTGCAGCCTCAATAATTACCACAGGCATGCATTACATTCCATAACATGGTCCTATTATTTTACCCCGCAGCAGCATACAGTATTGTATGTACTGTAAAACTTTGATTAATAGCACGGGCTTTTATTTGCTAAAATCACTGAATTGACCCTGCCTATATTCGGGACCACTATGAAACCGTTTGATATAGCTTCGACAGACGGCTTATGCACTTTATTTTGCAGCAACGTAACGAAAACAACAGGGTTCAGGATGAGAGAAGTGTGGCAGAAGTTAGCAGACAGAGAGCAATGGACTTCACATGACAGGATTCATAACTAGCTTTTTGGACTCAACGAGCTTCAAAGGTAATGTGAGTCGGCACTTTTTCCCCTTTTCATCTCTTGTACCATGCAGGTTACACTGGTAAATCTATAAGAATTAGACTTTGGGGCTTGCTGTTTCCGTTAAATGAACTGAACTATTGAATTGTGGAGAATCTAACCGATCTAACGATGTGTAGCATGTCCATACTGACATTGGCTATTGATATGTTTAAACATTAATATTTGTATTAACTATCTAAGCAGCTTAGAAGCAGCTAAAGCAGGCAACCCCGCAGGGTTTAAGAGGTTTTATACATCCAAAGAACAAAAACCAGACCAGGCGTGTGTTTATTTGTCAAAATGTGTTCCCACTCCAGATCATTAAATTGGGTAGGCGGCTATTTGGGATTCAGCTATAATTGAAGTTTTACGGTATTTATTCATATGCAGCACACTGTTGAAGCAGCAAGGCTTGCGGCAGTCTTTGGCATGCATACTGTACTTGAGGTCATTGTCAACCTTGAGTCAACCTTGAAAAATATTGAGCATGCAGCATGAGCTGGCAGCATCGTTCTTGCACAGGAATATCTGCTTGCTGTGTGTCCTCTGCCAACAGACTGTCAAAGGGGACCTACAGACCTCGAGCTTCACAATTTATTGAACCACTTCTTCCTTTCCTTCATCTACTGGGCCAGCGCTGCTTGCCTCAGCACATCACAGCCTAACACCTTGTCTGGCTGAACTTACTCCTGCCTCGCCAACTACTGACACATACTGATGCTGTAATTAGGTGGGGGTGGTGCAGTGCATACAGATATCATTGACTGTCAGGGACGAAGGACAGTAGAGCCTGACAATATCGACCTTGTTGGCAGAATATGAAGAATGTGTGATTCAAGTTAAAAAGGTTTATACTTGTATCTTCTATGGCACTTTATTTATTATCACCTTAAGTTTGTTGTTTGGATAAAATCCCAATGGAAAAGTCAACAAATGAAACACAACAAATACATTTACAATGGCATGTGAAATTAATAAATGTGAATGTGTGTAAAAAATTACCTATTGTAGCCAGCAGCCCAACATTACAATTACAAGGGAGTGTACCGCTCTTTTTCTGTTATTTTCTTCACAAATTAGTCAATGAACTCTCTAAAGGACCCAATAAATCGTGACAGTTTAGCTTTTACCATGTGCAACACGTTCACACTTACCCACATGTGACCTTGTGAGATCATAGAGCATGGAACAGAAGGTGCCCGAATATGGAATCTCATGTTTCTCGGTGTTTAACATTCAATCACTCATACTGCAGGCCAGACACACAAGTACACCGCTGAATTTATGTGACAGGTTTACCAGCACAGTCCCTGATCCAATACCAAAACGCATTTTTCTCACTCATTTTCCAGGACCTACAACATGAAGTTAGAGTTGCTGCCAGGGTTCAATTCTGGTAGTAATCGAAATAATTGATGACTGGCTATTTATGGGGATGAAAGCAGCCAGGCTGGACAAGGTCAATGTGCCCAGCAATGAAGAAAAAAAGACCCTCTTGCTTCTGGACAAGGGAACAGAGCAGAGGAAGTGTGACATTTGCAATTAGTGTGAATAAGGTGAGTCACAGCAGCTCAAAACAGTGTGATTTTTCCGGTGACACAGGGTTAAATGTTAAGCTTGATTAGTGCTCACGCTTCAAAAACAAGACTACACTGTGTGATATGAGCCCTTCCAGTGTTTTCATGCAAGCCTATAACACAGTGTATTTTGATCAACTTTGAAGACTAAACAGCTAAACAGCTGGAAGTGCAAGTATGTCATCTGTTTTAATAAGGCGCACTTTGCACTGAAACTTCAAGTGGGTAGCGTTAATGCCTTCATAGCCCTATAATTAGCAAAGACAGAATTTCTCAAAGCAGATTATTCAGCAGAGCTGATTTGTGCATTGGCATCACCTGTATGGGGGAACAAAGGGGGGAGGAGGGAGGGAGGGATGGGGCACCATAGATCCTCAAATGCTTTCTTTGAGCAGGGGATGATATGATGCGTGCCTATTACATATGTGCAGCAGCTGCATATTTCATGGTTAGTTACTGAAGAGCACTTACACTCTTTGAGCAGACGTTTAAAACAAATCCCATGGATTTGGAGGAGATAGTACAAGCAACCGTTAGAAAAACCCTCATCCCACCCTCCAAGACTGCTGAAGGAAAAGGAGGTGGAAGGTGTGTGATGTGACATTTACATGGCAGCCCCAGCTGTAAAGCCAAGTACAACTAACAACTTTAACAAATTAATACAAGGTGTGCTGACACAAACAGGCTTTCTTTCTTCCTATAATAGTAATGAACAAGCCTCCCATGATGCTGGCTATTGCCTGAAACCACAACTTTTTATATGGGCTATATGTATTCATGGTGTCCCTGTGATACTAAAAAGCCAGTCTACAGTCAGGGCATCAGTCCGTGCCATTATTGAAGGACAGTCAGTTACCTTCAAAGCCGCAGTCTGACATTATAAAATCTGATAGGAATCAGAATTACAGGTCTGCTGCTGGTGAATGTAATTAACTTTAAAAAGCAATATAGTTTTGTGTTAAAAATATCATCAAAACAGATTCTTAATGGATGGATGGTGTACATGGTACACATGGTGTACTATTCCTGTAAGCAGGAGACAATGATAATTTAATTCAATTAATCATCCTGGGAGATTTTCTCAGGACATTTTTCCCGGGACAAAGGAATTGTACCACGGGATATTCTGCACAAGTTGTAGGCTACATAGTTCCTGCCAATAATTTGAGAGATTTTAATAATCTTTTTTTTTTTTCCTTTTTACATACGAATTAATCACGTAAGCAGGAGATTGGAGAAGTACCATGGGGAGTTTCAAGGGGTGGTCGCAAGCAAGTATCATCCATCATAAAGCAGCAGGATCTCCTCAAGCAACCTCTGATCACTGCAGTATGAGACTAATTAGAAAGAGGGAATGTTTTCCTAGCAGCACGAACATGTGTGACGAGACAGCGGCATCGTCTTCTTCAGCGACAACAGAAGTCTGTTGCTCGCGTGAAGTGCACGTCCAAAACACACACGCACGAGTCTCCCACATGCCTAGAAAACGCAGTGGACCTGATTTGAATTGTACTCCATTCCCCCTCCCGACCGCTGCGTGGTTCATTCCAGCGCCTCTGTATCCTCGGTGCAAGGTGTTTCTGCTGCCACCAACACTGAGCCCGGCGGTTCAATCACTCCGCTGACAAGAGCAGTGAATATCGATGGAGAGGTTACAACTGAGCTGAGGTCTTCTCGTGCAGGACTGCTTTATGCCGAACTGTTAATGGGGTGAGTTATTTCCGGATATAAATCGTGGCCGCCGAGTTTTCTTCTAAAACAAGAAATACCGATTTTTTTTATTTGTTTGTTTTTAGATTGGGATTCAAGAGTAACAAGTGTCCTGATAGTCATCTAGCAGAGGCAAGCGCAGGAAAGACACCTCATGCGACATATGTGAGCCCCAAATATTTAAATGGTTGAAAGTTATTATCCTGGAGAAACACTTTTGTTAAATCTCTCAGAATGAATTTCAACAAATAATGCAAATAATGTGAATGTTTTCAGTGAGTAAGAGGGAAATGCTCTCAGTGCCTTGCTAAAGATGAAGTACCAAAGCTGCAGAATACATAACTGAATTCCCAATCACGTTAAATGTGTGCTTTATGCTTTATGCTTTCTGATTTGAATATCACCCAAGCCAGAGGGCACATCTACCTTCCATCCACTCGGCTGCAAATGTCAGTCCCCAAAGCCCCAGAGAAGCTCTCCTTGGTGAAGATTGTGTAAGAAGCATCCAACTGTTTCAGAATGAGGAGCTCTATACAAAGACAATGCCATTCACACTCTTGCTGTTTTAATCACGAGGTTGTGGGGGTGTGCTTGGGCACAAAGGTGAGATGAAATCTAGATGTAAAAGTACTTTTATACCTAAATGTGTAGCTGGCAGCCTTCGGTGCTTTGTTGTTAGAAGGGTTTTTTTATCAGTAGTTTAATTGCATCAAAAAAAAGATAATAAATTGGGAACAGCAAAAAGCAAAGATATGCAGGTCTTGCAAATTACTAGTATTTTGCTGAAAAAATTACACTCACTTTATTATGGTCTAGGTTGTGGCCAGAAATAATTGCAACAAAGAAAACTTCATTGAAAAACATGCAAAATGCATTCATCTTTTAAATATCTTTTAATGATCTTGAGAGATTGTTTTTGTTCAACGTCTTGATTTGTGCAGCATCAGGTGCGGTGTGGCTTTCTTGCAAAGGCTTGTGAAGCTCAGGAAGGATTTTAGTTATTGATTAATTAGCTGGGTATTATGAAATATATGTGGTGTGGTAATTTCTCCCCGCTGCGGCTCTGTCAAAAAGAAAAGTCTTCACACCATTTTTCGCCTGTGCCCTTAACTGCATTAAAAACTAAAAAAGTGCAGACCATATTATTAGTAATGAGATGTTAATCACCCTCTGGCCCTGTTTAATTTCTTGCAGTTAACTCAAATCCCCACAAGGCTCTGTAGCAAATATGCCCAGTGAACCAGCTGGCACTTGCCGGTGTGAAGACAGTGGCTGACCTGAATTGACACTTAACCCACACAGCATTCTAAAACACGCTCCAAAATACAGACTTAAATGTATTCAGTTGTCATCCTTTTACATCACTTAAATGCGATTCCTGTCTTCTTGTCTATCAGCGTCTCCCTCCTCCCTCCTTTCCACATATGCATTTGCATGTGTTTTTCTACATCTTTCTTCCTTGCACATCTGTCTTTCACAGAGTGAGTGACAGCCACTGTTTGAGGGATGGAACAGGCATATTTGATTGTCTATTCCCTTCAAAACGGTTGTCCAATTTCATGGCTATTAGGCTTGTTAATAGGAGCAGGGAGAAGAGAGAGCAGAGGGCCTATCGGTGTGCTTGGTTGGACCCTTTCATTAGAGGGCATGGTTTGTGATGCTGACAGACAGTGTGACATGTCACATAAATATACTAGCTGACAAGGCTCTTATTGTTATTACCCCTCAGGCCTTACTGAGGCTCAGTGATTGATAACAAGCAGATCAATCTGACACAACCCACTGGGTGTTAGACACATAAATGTAAAGCATTTTCATGAGGAACTCTATTTAATTTTCGTGCAGAAAAATTAGCGCGTCCCGTTTTGAGAAATGTTTGATTGATTTATCCATCAGATGAATGCTTCAGTAATACAGCCAATGTAATGTCATTTACAGGCCAAACAGAATATGATCCTATTGATTAAATCCTGCAATCTAGTCAGTAAGGGCAAATTATTTCAACTGAATTACATGCATTAGCTACACTCATTATGGACGCTTCCACTGCGCCCAAAAGCCTGGGAAAAACACGAGTAAGTCAACCAGATCCCCTTATTACAATGTCACAAGAGGAGACATGCAAAATGAATGGTTATATTTGATATTCAAGATGACGGGTTAAACTTCACTTTAAGACTGGTGCGGTTGATACGCTGGGTCAAGGTACAAAACTGTGATCTGTATTTTGAAAAAGTCGTGAGAATTGTTAAAGCAAGAGTAAGTCACAGGAATAGGTTAAAGCAATAGGAGTAGTTTAAACTGAGCGTTCAGAAATAAGAAGTTATGATTAATGATTAAAATTAACATCTTATGAGATTGTCAGGCACATCTGAATATGTTTTCCAAAACGATATGCGTGAAATCATTATTGACCCCAGTAATGCTGCTCAAAAATGCTGCTTCTGTGAATCAGATATGTCTTAGTTATCATAAGAATGTATTCTGGATACAAATGATGGATTTCTAATCCTTCTGTGAGTTTTTCCTTTGTAGTTAGTTTGTAGTTGTAAGTTTGTAGTTAAAATTGTCACTGAAATCATTACTTATTTCTACTGCACTTGTAATTAAGTTGGTCTATTCATTAATACCGTGTTTAACGGTTGTAAGTTGTAAAAATCAATACCAAACTTTACAACATCCCGCTGACTGACAGTATAAGGGTTTGGGATTTGAGATTCATTGTTTCTGCACTGTTGAACATCGTGTAGTGTTGACATGCTGAGCCTCTTCTGTGAATGTATTAATAGAGCTGGTATGTCAGATCTTTTCTTTTGTGAATCTGAAAAATAGATGTCCTTTGTAAAAACAGTGTATCTGTCTAGTAGACTCTCGTATATATAAAGTGAAAATAGATGCTGCTCACCGCACCACTTAAAACATATAACTCCAAAATGTTTAACAGAGGGATCTCTCTGTTGGATACAAAATTGAGATATTCCTCAATGAGTGTACAACAAAGACTCCACTTAAAACAGATCATTTTGCAACAGAAGTCCGACTTTGATGCAAATCAAAAGAAAACTGTGGGATGATGAAACTGAATATTTATGGCCCTTTCCCTGAGTACTTTTGAGCATTTTTAACAGCAGATGAAATTGCACTTGAAAGTTGTAGGCAGGTTGCTTGACAGCTGTGAAAAACTCAAGTGTGATTTACTATTGTGAGCAAATCATTAAAGTACCTCTCTTGTGAATGACACAGGGATGTACACTAGTGCATTTACGCAATGGTGCAAAGCCAGCGGAAAAAGCCAGTATCGCATCTTTAATCTTTAGCATATATTGTTGAATTTCATACAGTTTTCATAGATATGAATGGTTTTTGATTTCAGAGACTTGTAAATATAACATTAAAATAGTTTGTGCATCTTCACTCTCCCCACTGCAGAATGTATCCACTGTCTGCAGAAACTGTCTCTGAATTGTCTTGGCCCTTGGCTGCGGGGCCGTGAGCAGCAACCATGACGTATCCCAACACCAGCATACTGACAGCTAACTTCACTGGAGCTTTGGACGGTCATGACTCCGGGGGAAACATCTACCGGCCCTTTTCTGTTTTCAGCGTGCTCACTCTTACATTGCTGGCAATGCTGGTGGTGGCCACCTTTGTGTGGAACTTGCTGGTGCTGGTGACCATCCTGAGGGTGAGGACATTCCACCGGGTGCCCCACAACCTTGTGGCTTCCATGGCCATCTCCGACGTGATGGTGGCCGCCCTGGTCATGCCTCTCAGCCTTGTCCATGAGCTGAACGGCAGGCTGTGGAAACTTGGTCGCGTGTTGTGCCAGGTGTGGATCTCCTTCGATGTGCTCTGCTGCACAGCCAGCATCTGGAACGTGACGGCCATCGCGCTGGACCGCTACTGGTCCATCACCAGGCACCTGCAGTACACGCTCAAGACACGTAAAAAGATCTCCAATGTGATGATCGCACTCACATGGCTGCTGTCCTCCATCATTTCCCTGTCGCCTCTGTTTGGCTGGGGGGAGACCTACTCAGAGGGGATGAAGTGCCAGGTGAGCCAGGAGCCATCCTACACGATCTTCTCCACCTTTGGAGCATTTTACCTGCCGCTTTGTGTGGTGCTGTTTGTTTATTGGAAGATCTACAAGGCTGCCAAGTTTCGGATTGGTTCCCGCAAGACCAACACAATAACACCCATGGCTGAGGTGATTATTTATTTTCCTTTTTAAAATCCATTTTCTTAAAATAACCCCTCATTCTTATAAGTCATAATATCATTATTCTCCCCTTGTCAAGGTATTGGTTAATACATGTATTTGGACACTCCTTGAAACCAATCAGAGAATAAGCAGCTAGGCTGTGATGAACTGTACTTCAGTCAGAAAGGTTGGTTGAGAGCACTTTGTAAACCGCTCATGTACAAATAAGCTGTGTCGGCCAGCAGTTTCTTTAACAACCCTCCTATATCAAATGATGAATATTCCTCCTCTTGCAACTGGTTGATGCCCCTGACAGCAACCAACAAATATGGGTTATGCAATTATTTATTATTTTGGCTGACAAGCTGTTCAACAGTAATAAGGGAAACATAAGTATCCATTGCATGAGCATAAGGACAAATAATTAAAGCAGTCCCGCTCATCATCAGCAGCTTGTTAACGTGCGTCGACAGAAGCTAGAAGGCTATAAATACCACCACCGGTATCTTTAATGGGCCACTGCACTGTCCGGGCTGCGGCATTTCTCTAATCAGCAGACACAAAGATCTAGATCCATTCCTGTGAAAATTGAGTGCCTACTATTCATATGCCTTTATGGTGGAAAATGCAATTTGATCACCCCCCCCCCCACACACACACACACACACACACACACACACACACACCCCATTGCAGATTACACCATTTTTACTTTTAGTCATCTTAGAGCAGACATCTTTTTTTCACCTATGAAAAGCCTTCTTTCCTGAGATCTTAGAAAATGTTCACAGAAAATACACAATTTACATGCAATGTAAAGTACATGCTTTACATTGCATGTAAATTTCCCACAAGGCGGACCAATCATAGAATAAATTAGCTCTGTGTTTTATTGATTTAATAGACCTACTTTTACGTCAAGTTTTATTACACAGGCAATCACTCTTGAAGACATAGCAATTAAACGGAATATGTTTTATTTGTAATTCTGCTTTCCACAGACGGACCCACAGCTTATGGTTGTAATGTACGTGTCTCATTACCTGACCAAAGTTTATTCTCATAATTTCCCAGCGTACTTCTAAGAGTCAAGGCACAGAGCCCTGGAGAGTGCTTGCACAGTGGTGTGATGTGAGCAATGGCATCAACATCCAAGATAATAAACCCCCTGCACTCATCCATCAACAACACCCACTCAAAGACATTAAGTCAAAGACACACAAACACATGCCACCATGAATAGAGTGTATTGAAAGGTTAAGATGCAAAAATAGCTTCACACTCCAGTACAGAATGCCATAAATTGTGTAGTTTCAGAAAATGGTTAATGTCACTACAAATATGAAAACTGACTGATGTTGAAACAAAAGAACTAAATAAATTAACTTTTGTCTACACATTTTAGATTCCATAAAACCTTAACACAGTCTAGCTTCCTGACCGAATCACCTGACCTTCAACACATTAAGTACACTTGTCTTTCTCTCTTGAACACTTATACCTTTTTAACATATGAAAGAAGCAGATGAATATCTGCAGGTGTGAGACCTGACCTGACCTGCAGGACTGACTGACTTTATACTCTCAGTCTCACTAGTGAATGTGGTTCACATCCCTTCTGCTAACAGTCAATGATAAGTTAGAGCCATGAGATGATTAGCTTAGCATAAAGAGTGGGTGCAAAGGGGAAACTAGCCTGTATTTGTCCAAGTAAAAAAGATCCCCCAAACATTTGTACAAATTTGACAGCTGGATCACTTGTGCAGTCTGTGTTAATTTGCCCAAAACAACCAATGTACCCACTGTGCAAACATTAGTTTTAAGCTAGCTAGCGCCAACCATGTGTGTTAAGAGTGTGCCTGTGTGTTTTTGTGTGGCAGCTCAGCCTCTGACTGAACTCAAGAGATGCCACTGTTCCCAGCTTTTGTTCATCAACAAGTTGTACTTCTAGCACCTAACTCCCAGTGAAAAACAAAGAAAATATAACGTGTTAATTAGTGAATTTTAAAGGCTTTGGACAGAAACAGGCTAGCCTTTTCAAATGTACTTTATTTGTCACATACACATTGTGATATTCATCCTCTGCATTTAACCCATCCCTCAAGGGAGCAGTGGGCAGCCGCTGTGCAGCGCCCGGGGACCAACTCCAGATCTTATGTCAGTGTCTGGTCAAAGCACTGACTGAAGACACTCCTACACACGGTTGTTTTTTTTTGATGGTGGGGAAAACCGGAATACCCGGAGGAAACCCACGCAGACACGGGGAGAACATGCAAACTCCACACAGAAAGGCCGGGGAGACCGGGGTTTGAACCACGACCTTCTTGCTGTGAGGCTTCAGTGGTATCCACTGGACCATTATGCTAAACTAACCTAACCACTTTGCTTTAGCTTCATATCTAGCATAAAGGCATAAGAGTTGCAATCTTCTTATCTAACTCTCAGCAAGAAAGCATTTCCTAAAATATCAAACTATTCCTTTAACCTTGACCACTGTCTTTACCTGTCCTTTAACCGCATAGTTATAGTTGCTTAAATGCAACTATTAAAATATGAATTGTTCTTTCAGTCATATGGATCCTTTTGGAAGGCAGTGACAAATGACCTATTCAAACTGTTCTGGGAAACCAGATTTTGTTTTAAGTGAGCCATTTAAGGTGAGTCTCACAGTCTTGGCTTGGAGGTACATCATAACCTCATAAATGATCCGCTGTATAAAAGAGGATCTGCAGTTAAGTGCCCATTTTATCTACTGTACCATCTAGTATATAATGTTGAGGTTTGAAACCTACTTCCCAACAACCTTATGCTTTTAACCTCTCTGCTCTGCTGCAATGGATTTGCTTCATCCATCTAATCAGTTGGAGGCCCTGCTGACCCATTATTGATTCAGCTAAATTTACACCAGAGTAAAAAAGTTTCTCCCTCCGTGTGCAGGGTCGTGTTTAAATTTTGAACAGAACACACCAGTTTAGAGTGTTAGTCTCTGCACTTTACTTCCAACACATTTAGAGGCATGGTTTGTCTTTTCAAAAGCTGTGAGTTTGCTGAATGACCCGGGCGACATCTCCTGATAAACAAAAAAATAGTCAGCCTTGAGCTGTGCTAGGCAACAAATAAGAGAGGAGAAAGTCAGCAGATTAATGTTGACATTTTCTTTGTCCTTTTCCCAGCAGTGCAATATGTTTGTGAAATGGAACAAAATGGGTTGCTGGAAAAAATGCAGATTAAGATGCGGCTGTGGCTTTATGCTCTGTGTTGGGTGTGTGTGTGTGTGTGTGTGTGCGTGAAATGAAATAATACGCTTTGGCTTGTTGATCCACCTGTTGATTCACACTTATGTTCAGCAGCCTATAATTCATCTTTTGTTGAGCAGCCATAAAATGTTCCCCTCTGCAATTGCTTTTCTTTGACCGTCATTGTTCAAGATATTGCTTTTTTAATTCTAATGCTAACCAGGTTTGTCTGATTGATTAATGGATCAATGAAGTAACTGATTTATTCTCTGATTGTCTGTCTCCCAGGTAAAGGAGGAAACACAGCAGCCCCAGATGGTGTTTACTGTGCGCCACGCCACTGTGACCTTCCAGACAGATGGGGACACATGGCGCGAGCAGAAGGAGAAAAAGGCGGCTCTGATGGTAGGCATTTTGATTGGCGTGTTTGTACTTTGCTGGATCCCTTTCTTCATCACCGAGCTCATCGTCCCGCTGTGCTCCTGTGACATCCCACCCATCTGGAAGAGCATCTTCCTGTGGCTGGGCTACTCCAACTCCTTCTTTAACCCGCTCATATACACAGCCTTTAATAAGAACTACAACAATGCCCTGAGGAACCTCTTCTCCCGGCAACGCTGAGCCACTCTGTATGGTCGGCAGACACACTACACCAGCATTCACTCCGCAGTGTTACTCCTGCAGACAGAAAGGGATTAACCTGTCTGCATCCGTCACTCCATCATCCATCAGATGGATGATAACCAGAAACAATGTCTGAAAAACTGTCTTTAAAAAGGTGTCGTATTAATTTATGTTTTGTTTTGTTCATTACCAGTGCTGAGTTAACCTCACAGCTGGACTGAGACAGGGGTCTCAGCTACTGTATCTACAAAGAGAGGAATAAATTGGCTGTGTTGTTGCAGTAACGGACACAGTGCTGTCTACAAGTTGGCTTCTTTCTGCTGTTCCAGGCTCATTAGGGAGAAAGACACATTACCTCCCTCGTAAACAGTTTTCATCATCATATGTGAGACTGCTAAAAATAATTTCAAAGTAGGGCTGGAAGAAATGTTTAAGAAAAACCTTTTAGAACTGAACAAAAATAACTTATAAATAATATAAGAATAAGTATAACAAACTGTTTTTTCCCCAAAACTAAACCACAAAATGCTCATCGTACATAACATTTTGAGCTAAAATTATCTGATTATCGAGAAGAAGGATTCTAGGATCTGATAAAGTCTTCAGCCACCTCCATGTTATAGCTAGGGACACATTTATTCATGCATACTCCTAGATAAATGTACTATCTCCCCTCTGGTGCTGGATAACTACACACTAATTATCCTTGCACACCTATATACTCCCATGCCTTTTGTGAAAGAAGGAAAATAGCAGAATAAGTTGTTATCTTCATCTTCTTTGAATAGAGGCATTGTTGAGAAACAGCAAACACCAATCACTGCATCTCACTCCATTTAGTATGCCTACTATAAGATACAGAAGATATCTGGAATGATGGAAAGCTATTCAAGGCATTATCACACAATATATTCTGTAGCCAGAGAAGTCAGTAGGACATAAACTGGGAAATTAAAAATAGATATACTATGTGTTTCTTCAATGAATGGAGAAGCTAAAGTCGGGGTGGGGGCTAATGTTTACCAATACACACAACGGGCTCAGCACACAAAACATGATGTTTTCCCATTGTGGATCTTTATCAGGTTTTTATATGACTCCCCTGTTCCTGCACAAATTGCCAACAGTGTAGAAGTGAACCTTTATTTTGTTGTGTAATATACTGTAGTGTGAGGAATCAAGCATGAGAAAGTGATCCTCAGCAAATAGGTGTGTCATATGTAAGTGAGCTCCTGTTGGAGAGCATTAACAAAGTTTCTTGCACAAACGTCATTAAATTATCAGTTTATCTTTTGGACTGGAGAAGTACGTTTGTCCAAACTATCTGCATCATCACTGTCCAGTGAAAACTAAGTATCTCCAAATTAGGTGAATTATTGAGATAATCTCAAGGATTAAGTTACCAATCTGGAAGATTTTCATTTTTAAAAATGGCGAATGATGTAACAAAATGGTGATTGCGAATTGTACATATTTGTTGTATTACAAACTGGGTGTCTGTGGTACACATTCATCATCAATCATCAATGCAAACCAAATATTTCCTACTGCTGCAGCTTCACATTAATAGCATTTAACTGGTAAAACACAAGATGACTCTTATTATAAAGTAGTCACAGGAAATACAATGTGTTTGTCACCGAGATTAGCACTGACCGATATCGTTCATCAAAAACGTTTACTCTTACCACCAGTAACTACAGGTGTCGTCAGATGAAGCAGGACTGAAATATTAAGGATTACAACTTTAAGTATGGTCCAAGAATATTCTCTTATTCTTGAGATGAATAAATCTTTTAACAAGACTAAGGCTCAGTTCTATTTCACCCATTGCCCCTACCACTTGGCCCTACCCCTCCTTTTTGCACGTTCACGGCTAGGGGTAGGGTGTCCTTATTCTTGTTGCAATAAAGGGGCAGGGCGAAGAGGAAGGGCTACATAGCCCTCAAAACAGAGGCACACTAGAAACGGAGGGCTATGAGAAAGTTCCCAGAATACAAGTATTTTCTTCGTATAATTTATGATAACCATGGCTATTCTTAGTTTAATGTCATTTCAACGTAATATTGTGATCATAAAAAAAATTGCTAGTTCAGCCGCTAGCATTTTGTCTCGTTAGCTGACTTGTTAGATTGCTCGATGTGCAATATAACATTACCATACAAGAGAGATTACCACAGGACGGCATATTAGAGTTGTTGTCAATCGTTGTCATGGAGAAATCCTGTAAAAACTCGACGCTTCAGTTAAAATCAGAGCTGTCGTCGACTGCTGATGACATATCGGGTTCCTGAAGGGTTGTTTCATTTCGTAGGGGAATATTTCAACCCCTTGGCCCTTGTAACTCTGTTTTAAGGGCTGGGGTGAAATGGGATTGAGCCTAAGAGTCTATAGCTAAATGCTATGCATGCTAACATGCTTAAAATAACAATGCTAACATGCTGATGTGTAGCAGGTGTCATATTGTTTAAAGTGATGGTGCTATATTTAAAGTGAGGGTAAAGTTATTTGGATTCATCTACATGGTTCCATGGACAATGCAAAATTCATGGCAATTTATCAAATAATTGTTGACATATTTCAGCCTGGACATACATGATAGGTTGGATTACATGAAAAATGCGTTGTTTCAAATTTGACAGTGGCTGTTTAAGCTCATGAAAAGTTGACATTTTAGAGATGCATAGTTTTCACTGGAAAGCAGTGTTGTGGCTGAAATACTATAAAAGATATCAATCAAATTTTTGTACACAAAGTTAGAATATTTAACTTTTTTGTGTACATATATATATATATATTTGTATTAACAACTTACAGACTTTAGATAACATGGTTTACAAGACAGAATTGGTTTATAATTGAAAATTTTCCATTTATGTAAGAAATAGCCTCAACGATTAAAAAATAAATAAAGCTATACTACATTATCAAGTTAAACAGAGTAATACAACATAAAGATGCACACTAATTGTAATGGTGGTTCCACTGATAACAATATTCAGTGGTAAATAATGTAATGCATGGAATATTGACAGAGACACAAACCATTATTATTACATTATTTAAGATATGGTAAAATAAATGATAGTGCTGGTGAAATTGGTGTGTTCTCTGTTAGCACTTCTTTCATGTAATTCTGTTAATTGCATGACTTGCTGGTTGCTTTGAGCCAAAGGTGCTCTGCAGGATTCACTTTTTTAAATGACTTCTCACTGCTCTCCAAATTGCCGGAGGATGGTTGATTATTCACCCTTTCCCCCTCTTAAGTTTTGTTCAGTCCGATGACCCAGCTCAGGAAATGCAAAGTATTGCAGAAACATGTTGTTTACCATACTGTTTCCTTGTTCATGTTCAAAAGAGGTTAAAAAAAAGTGCACAATTACCTCGTTCAGAGCACCATTTTTGTGTTCATACCTTAGAAAACAAACATGAAAGTAGTGGCATTTTGAATGTTGTAATGGTGTTTTTCCAATGTGTGCATGTTTTCTTCCACAGAAGCCTTGGATGATAAAATTGACAATAAATGAAATTAAATTTATGATACACAGTGTGAAGCTTGGCACTTTGACAAAAAAGCTTATGAAAGCTATTCAGGTTGAGCCACAAGGCATACTGCTCGATATATGATAAAAGTTTGCTGCAAAGACACGCTCCTTCACACACACACACACGCTAGATTAAAAGGGAGAAAGAATTCATTGTTATAGTTTTGATCATTAATTTTTAAGATAATCATTTCCCAACCATTGGAGGTCATTTTACAAACCTCGGCATTGGCGTGTCCTATTTCTCTGTGGTGCCACTGCCAGCATGCATATTTCAGAGCCAGGAGTGAGCCTGCTGCTGTTCAAAGGAGCACGTCCATCCATCCATGTTTTCAGGGAAGACCGCATGCATGAAAATGTGGCTTGGCTAAACTGACTTAGGATTAGAACCAGAAGCCTCTGGCAAGGAAAACCTGTGCTTTAGCTACTGAGCTTTACAGAAATAGATGCAACAAGCAGCCTCATGATACATGTACAGTGATCGAATGTACTGGCACTACACTCTGAGTGAAGGACAAATATGACAACGAATGTAATATGTCAACTACCAACTACTGACACTTATTTAAATAAAAAAACAATGTATTAAATGTTTTAACACGCACCTACTGTATACATATCTGCAATCTTTCTGCACTTGGATTTTTGTATACCACATACAGTATGTTCACTAGCCTCTGGTAACAGTAGGTACATAACAGGTTTTATGTAATGGGTGAAGACTTGTAGTGCAGAATGACACTGCACTGCCTCGTCTCTCTTATCTTGACAACAAAGTAGGCTCAGTCTCTTCCTGTCTGAGGCCACGTCGACTGTGTTGTTATTCTGTGACAGCTCAGTTTTATCCAAATAGAAATTGCACAGCATTACTGTAGAGGAGAGGATCCCAGCAAGTGTATGTTTATGTGGCCATCTGCTCTGCTTTTAATTCAGGTTCTCGGGGCACAACAGAGGTGATTGTAGGAGAATCAAAAATTGAAAATTCTAATATACTCCAGAGGAGATACAAGTGGATAAAACTTTTGTTGCCTCGAGACTGAACTGGGATGGACAGTGCTTTCTGGATTTTTAATGTTTCTTCTTTCACATTTTAATACATGAACGCTGCTGATGTACTAGGTTTAAGGTTAAGACAAAAAGTAGGAATTTATTCAGTTTTCTTTTCCCTAAATACCTTTTCTCTAATTATAAGCAATATTGCATTGATAGACGCTCGAATAATTTTGAATCTGCAGATTTTATTTATTTGACAGCAGTCTCACAAGATTGAAAAACATCTTCCAGTGAAAAGCAGCAACAGAAACAAGACTACGAGTCTACAACCACGCTAGAGCTCTGAGGCTACACTGACACACAGCGGTGCTTTAAGGTAAATGCTAACGTCAGCAAGCTAATATTCTCAATATGACAATGCTAACATGTGGATGTTTATCAGGTATAATGTTTACCATGTTCACCACGTTAGTTGAGAGTGTTAACATGCTAACACTTGCTAATTAGCATGATACACAAAATAATGAAAATATTGTTAGTGTGCATCATGTTCCGATAGTTGTGGAGACATTTTTCAAATCCACAAATGTCAAGCCTTGTGGCGCTACTAGAGGAAAGTAAAGATCACCAAAGTCATAAGGATAAGTCATCGGTTAACCATAAATTCATGTATTTCAGATATTTCAACCAAAGCAGTGAACCAACAGACAGACAGATATGGCCATGTCTAGAGCCACGCTGCAAGGCTAA